CAGACAGGGCTGCCGAAAATTTGCCACCTCCAGAGATTCATGAGGTACGACTATTCGGTTTCGGTTTCAGTTGCCCATCTGCATGACACCATTACTGTGGAATACTTTATTTTCGCTGGAATTAATTTTCGCTGAAAAGGCTTTTGGGGCGTTTTGCTTGGAATTTATTTTCACTGATTTTTGATGAGTTGAATGTGAATTATAGGGAAAAAAGTATACTCACTGGATTTTATTTTCACGGAATCATCCCTCCAGCGAAAATAGCGAAAATATATTCTGAGCGAAAATAAAGTATTCTACAGTATATTAACTCTTTGAACATTGTGTAAATCAATCCCGATTATGGGGAATACTGTAAAATACTTTGTTTTAGCTGGAATTAATTTTCACTGAAAAGGCTTTTTGGGGCATTTTGTATGGAATTTATTTCACTGGCTTTTGATGAGTTGAATGTAAAATATAGGAAAACGGGTATATTTGCTGGATTTTATTTTCATTGAATCGTGCATCCCTTCAGCGAAAATAAAATTCCAAGTGGAAATAAAGTATTTTACAGTATCTGCATTTACGGCTTTCAAACTGAAATGAGTATTGTTATTGTTTACGATCAACTGAACTAACAGTAAAATGAGACTACCGTAAAAACTCGATTAATTCGCGGTCTCTATTAGTTCGCGCACCCATTTTATTTTCGAACGCTAATTTTTAAATGTATCCTATTAATTCGCGGGCCAGAATAAAGTGGATAACTCAGAATATATTGCATGAAGACATTAAAAATATACATATAATTTTATGTTATCAGTACCTGGTTTCGCCGCAATCGCAGATGATCTCCGGCATCACAGCCTTTCAGTTAGCAAGCAGTTTAGGTTTGGTAAAGATTTGACGCGAAAAAAATCATTCCCCCACGACACTACAAATGTTGGGCAAGATTATTATCAAGTCGATAAATATCCATCGGTCAGCACATTGATTACGAATTTCCGTGATGGAAAGCTTAGTACAGGGCTTTTTCGTCGCTGGTCCACAGGGTTGCATCGACCATGTGCCCGCCATTATTCTATTACGTCATTTAAGTGAACCGCCTATGGTGCGTAAGTTGACATTTTTGATTGGTCGGGCGATTGACCTCGTGTCACATTTTCATTATACCGGATTCGGTAAAAAACACAAAGTTAAGTGGTCATGTACGTTCTATAAATCTAACCTTGCACACATAATCTTGTACTGATGTGTTTTTTGTCCAAAAAATATAAAAAAAATTTCCCTTTCATTTAACCCCCAGTTAACTCTTCGTGTCCATGGTATTTGTGAGAGTTAAAGGATTTTTCGAACAAATGACAAGTAACTATATTGATTTGCGTCAAGCTGGGTGGCCCGAATTTAAATATCAGTGCATGAACTCTGGATGTCATTGCCCAGTGCCGCACGTAATTCAAACGCGTGGTTATTAGAGTTCAGTCGAAATGTGCGTGAATAATGCGATCGAAGTCCGCTGCCCAGAGTTTATTATATTATAGTAAAATTTTATTTGACGTATGGTATGTTTATGTTTGCATAATTATTATGAATGCAACGCATTATCAAGTCGGTGATATTGAAATATTCACAGACCCAATACCCCGGGTCAGTGCCCTAACAATTGTTGAAAAAAAACTAATTATCATGAAAGCAATACATAACGAAGTACAGAGCCGGAACAATATTGTAAACAAATTTGCGTGATTAGAAAAGCATTGCACTAAGTAAACGACGTTCAAGTTGATATATTCAAGCCAGTACAGAGTTGCATACAAGTTGCGTAATTACAGTACCTTCGGATATAATAACAATTTTACTAGTTTGACGTGCGGGGCACGAAAAAAAAAAGGTTGCTAAGGTAACGCACCAGTTCAGTGCGTGACTTGGGGTCAAAATTCGGTCAACACACACTTGATGTCAGCATCGCCGCTCAACAAGTTTCGCAAAAAAGTACTTGAAGTTCAATTGCGTTCCAAAATGATGTCGCTGATCACTCAGTTGTCGCAGCGTGTGTTGTGTCATGTCCATGATGCACCCCGTTTCGACGTTGGCTTGCTTTTCCTTCTTAGTGATGCGACCTCTCACCAATGTATTAAAACACTTTGAATTTATACTTTGCTTGATTATATTTGGTCAACGCGAAACCTTATTTTTTCTAAACATTTTCTGAGACCATTTTTATCAACGCAGGGTTATTTTTCCCGACAAGATGGGCTTCGTAATATCTGCCATAACATCGCCCGGGCGATGCCTAGAAAAATAAAACAAGCAGCCTATCGGCTGAGATAGCTCCGCTGTTAGCAATGCACATTTCAATTAAAGAACTGAAGACATCATTAGAAAATGAACAATATGTATAGTATCAAAGCAATCAGACTTACAGTTTTTAACAAGAATTGAAAAATATCACTTTCTACCAAAAATGACCAAAATATTCACCGAAATTATAGAATCGAAGATACCATCACGAAATGAACAAATCTGAGAAAGGTCTACATGTAGTATCTAAATATGTAATATCAAAGCAATTGAACTATTGGTTTTTAACAAAAGTCGAAAATATCACTTTTTACCAAAAATGACCAAAATATTCACCAAAATTAGAGAATTGAAGATATCATCACGAAATGAACAAATCTGAGAGAGGTCCACATGTAGTACCTATATATGTAATATCAAAGCAATCAGACTATTGGTTTTTTACAAGAAGTCGAAAATATCACTTTTTACCAAAAATGACAAAAATATTCACCGAAATTATAGAATCGTAGATACCATCACGAAATGAACAAATCTGAGAAAGGTCTACATGTAGTATCTAAATATGTAATATCAAAGCAATTGAACTATTGGTTTTTAACAAGAAGTCGAAAATATCACTTTTTACCAAAAATTACAAAAATATTCACCAAAATTAGAGAATTGAAGATATCATCACGAAATGAACAAATCTGAGAGAGGTTCACATGTAGTACCTATATATGTAGTATCAAAGCAATTGGACTTGCGGTTTTTAACAAGAAGTCGAAAATATCACTTTTTACCAAAAATGAAAAAAATATTCACCAAAATTAGAGAATTAAAGATATCATTACAAAATGAACAAATCTGAGAGAGGTTCACATGTAGTACCTACCGGTATATATGTAGTATCAAAGCAATTGGACTTGCGGTTTTTAACAAGAAGTCGAAAATATCACTTTTTACCAAAAATGACAAAAATATTCACCAAAATTAGAGAATTGAAGATATCAACATGAAATGAACAAACCTAAGAGAGGTCTACCCAAGGTACATATACACCAAGTATCAAAGCATTCAGGCTTGTAGTTTTCAAGAAGAAGTCGAAAAAGTAAAACATTGACACGGACAATCACTCATATGATAAGCTCCGCTCGACAAAGTCGACAGCGGAGCTAAAAAGGCAGTGCAGCCAGACGGCTACTTTGTAGCCACGTGTTCATTGTTTGTTTGTGTACAGAGTGACCTTTGCCATTTCACTGTTTCATTTCAAGTGTAACATGGTGCGTGGTCCTTGACGCAGTGCGTGTTCTCTGCCCGACTATACGCCATGAATGTCGCTAGCCACGAGTCTCAGAGGCACTAAAAAACGTCCTGTAATCGTGTTCATTGGAAAACAAAACAAATCACTAATAAATTTATGAAAACAGCTCTTTTTTGAATCGATCAAAAAGTACTCTTTTAATTCGCGCACCAAAAACCAATAATTTCCATTTTGACGCTATTAATTCGGGCACTTGAAAAAATTATTATTTCTACTACCGCGAATTAATTGAGTTTTTACGGTATGTCGACTATCAGCATGTAGTTCTCATAACCCATTTAAAAGGTGGTGGTCGTCACAACTGCTTGCGCTAAGTATGCATCCAAAACTACACATCAACAAATATGCATTATTTACACAAAATTTGAACTCTTCAAACGCACACGTGACAACCACTTCCATTTCATACAGGTAGTGCTTTGAAATGCAAAGGTGAAATATGTACTAGGACAGAAAATAAAATGTTATTTCTTTTCAGATTACTGAAGAAAAAGTTTTAACAGACTCCTGTGAGGGCCACCAGTTGTGCGTCATTTCCATTCTACCGCACATCCTGGATACGGGCGCTGTGGGTCGCAATAAATATTTAAATTTACTGCTAGATATGGCAGACAAGTACAAGAAGAAGCAATGGGGGTGAGTGACCTTTGAAAAAATAAAGTTGAATATGTTTTTGAAATCAGTTGTTTACTTCTGACAAACATCACAAATAAGGTTGACGCACAAGTTTTATAAAAAATTCTGGGTGCTCTGGGTGATTTTTGGGGGTGTTAGTTAATGCGACAATTGTGAACAGAAAACAATAAATGGCAAACATTTCCCCATATACATCATAATGTAATTTTTGTTAATTCGTCTTGAGATAGTAAATTAAAAAAAAATTCAATTTACTCTTTCAATGCATTAATTTTTCCCAGCCAACACTTCTTTGATAGCTTTGCACCAGATTGATGCAATTTCTCATTGACTACAAATCTGAATCAAAATTTTGGAAAAAAATAGGTCAACATTTGTTGAATGATAAACGTGGTACGATTTTCTGATGCTACATGTTTAAACATGTAGATGCATATCCTAGTTTAATTCCACTACCACCATTTTTACATGCAGTACACTAGGTCCTATATATTAGAGATGAACAGATTGTCTGTAAGATACTAGTGATAATGATATCAGCTGTCACACTTGTCATTCACCTTCAGCGATCAATAGGCAGGATAAAAACACAACACGATTTCAGCAAATGCTAATGAGTTCCCTCAAAACAAATTATTGTATTGCTCTACACGTCACAACAACTCGAAAGTAACAACCAATTCTCTGACGTACTAAAAATGTATTGGCCCCCTAAGCTACTGAAATTAATGACATAACACTGCCAGTCTGTCTAACTGACACTGCTCAATTTGGCGGCTACAACACAAGTGGGTATTTATCGTTCATGATGTGTTCTATTACAGATGGGTCTGGGCCGAAGCAGGATCTCAATTTGACGTAGAAGAATCGCTTGGCATTGGCGGATTCGGTTACCCTGCCATGGCTGCATTGAATTCTAGAAAAATGAAATACGCCTTGCTCAGAGGTTCATTTAGTGAAGATGGTCTCAACGAGTTCCTCAGGTCTGTAGGCTTAAATAATTTTCTTGTATATATGTACAGTACAGTACAGTACAGTCACTGAATAACTTGACATTTAGCTAGATTGTACATTGTAGCAGTGCAGACCTGATTTTATTATGTAAAATGCTACATTGTTGCTACATCCAATTTAAATAAAACTATAAAGAGAAATCATCATGTATCAAACATGATTGGATTGCAGTATGGCAAACCAAACATTGGTCCCTTATTAATGAGATACAATCTATTTTTCTGCAGAGAGTTGTCTTATGGCAGGGGTTCAACTGCACCAGTGAAAGGAGCAAAATTACCAAAAGTAGCAAAAATAGAAGCATGGGATGGTAAAGACGGTCAGGTAAGTGATTTCCGTGATTTTCTCCACGTTTTTATCTGAATCCTATATACATATTCAGGGGTGAACCATTGGGAACTTGGTGGCAAAATTATGCAAAATAGTTTTTTTCTTCACTTAGTTTTGTGCTATTTTATGTTTTTCAATGATGAATTTTGCTGTAATTTTTTTTATTTCCTTTGTTTAATTTTGTTCCCAAAGAAATGCATTCTGACGCCAGTTTCTAATGGTCCCCCTGTTGAATACATAGCTGAAGGCAGTGTGCCCTCTATATGATATGACATGCCACGCAAAAGGATTGGCTGTGATGCAATAACCTGACCTCCTAAGCAGTCAACAATCTTACTCAACTTTTGGGGGGGGGGGGTATCCCATTTTGACTTGAGATTCATACAAAATCAGTCCTGTTAGAGGGCACTGTTTAGGGTACAAAGCAGAGGTACCATTCTTATAACGAGAAAATAATACACAGATGTAAATAACTCGGACAGATCATGTACTAGACTGGTTATCTTCCTATTATTTTGCTGGTCCTTGGACCATTTGTTCATTAACCATGTAAATTGACTCCAAAATTGTGAAGAAAAAGGTTGCACTTTAGTCTGTGTCAACTATTAGTTAATACAGGAGAACATACAACTTTCATCCATTGTTCAGCAAAATTAGAATATTCAGATTAGCTGTATGCTATATTTATCAACCAATCAGTGTAACTGTCAGTTGGGTTAGGTAAAAAATTTGCATACTAATATTCAGATTAGCAGTGTGCTATATTTATCAACCAATCCATTGGGAAAATTAATATATTATCTATTTTTCAGATGCCAGTTGAAGAGGACTATGATCTTGATGATTTTGACCTTGATGAAGATGACACAGGCAAAGATGAGCTGTAAAAATATTCTTTCAATATTTGCTCAAACTTTTTATTTAAAAAAAAAATTGGATATTCTTATTCTTTCAACTCAGTACATTTTGTTCAATTTTACACATCGTTGGTTTATTACCGGTAAATGATTTTAGCATTTGCCAAAGTCAGAGTTTGACGACGTGTAGAGCACACTCAGGCCAAAAAAACAAGATTTGTTTCTTGTCAGAATGCATCGGTTTAATTGCGCCAATGCCTTTTCTGGTTTTTTGCCAAAATGTTGTAAAAAAGCACATCTCAGAACAAGAAATAAATCTTTATTTTGATGGCCTTTCTCTTGCGGTCTTATTTGAAGGTTTCATAGCGATATTGAAATTAAAGATGTATTTTAGATTTTGTTGATATGCATTACCGATTTCCAAGTTTCAGGGTCAAAATCCCCAAATTAACTACCGGTAACTTGAAGTGGTACAATTAGATATCTCCATATGTGTACATTTTTCAAGGATTTTAATTCCAAAAGTGGACTACTTTATATTCTATGCCAATTTAAAACTGTGTAGTTGATGCAAATTTAAGGTATTTAGAGTTGAACCATTATTTCAGGGGGGGGGGGTAGATTGGAGCTGAAAACAAAATCTGCATAAAATAATTCTTCTGTACATATGCCCTTAGTAGTAGTAATTAAATTACTCTTGTGTTGAGGAATATGTTGTGTGATACAAGAAATAAATGCTCTCACCTAGGGCCCCTGGGAATAATGGCACATTCCTTGATAGATCTAAAAATGTGCAGTTTCATCCTTTTTGCTGTGCTGTACAATGTAATTTCTGGTGTGCTGAAGTGAAAAAACCCATTTATAGTGGAAATCAAGTTGCATGTTTTGAATATCGTACTGCCTAAATTACTTTCTTAGTTTCGATAAGGTGCAACCATGTTATGAAAATACAGTGGTAACTTCATGGCGGTGGAGGTTGTTTGTAAGAAAATACTAGAAAATATTTCTTTCAGGAAATGTAACCATTTTTGAAATGTCATTAAAATTTGACAACACATGTGATGTTTTTGTGCTTTATTTCATCTTTGAAATGACAGAAAAATCCTTATGACATTTCAAGCCAAGCCAAGTCAAGTGTGGGTAGGTGCAAACAGACAACTTGTATAACTATACAAGACTGCTGAAAGGATGTTATTTTGCAGAGAAAATGAACTGAAATAGAGATGGTATGCATATTTTGCTGAATAAATATAACCGTGGCATAGTTTTTAAACCACCAAAATAAAAGTATTACCGGTAAGCTATAGGCAAAGATAATATGCATGTTAGTTTGTCTTGGGCTGAATAGTGTTCATATTTTCAAAGGATAATGTGAATTATTTGAAAGATGGCACTTATTTGAGGGGACTTTTCACGAGCGATGTCCTACCTTCCTGTCATGCGCATAAATGCTATCAATTCGGGAATCATTTACATGTCATACCTCGCCCGTAATCTTTTGCAAAAGTGAAGATAGTGGCCTACAAATATAGTTGTAAAGATATCAAGCAGCCTGTCGGCTGAGATAGCTCTGCTGTTAGCAATGCACATTTCAATTAAAGAACTGAAGATATCATTAGAAAATTAACAATATGTATAGTATTAAAGCAATCTGAGTTGCCGTTTTAAAAATATCACTTTTTACCAAAAATGACAAAAATATTAATCAAAATAGATAATTGAAGATATCATCACGAAATGAACAAATCTGAGAGGTTTACCCGAGGTACCTATGTATAGTATCAAAGCAATCAAGTCGAAAATATCACTTTTACCAAAAAGACATAAATATTCACCAAAATTAGAGAATTCATCACAAAATGAACAAATTAGAGGTCCACATACCCCCCGGTATATGTAATATCGAAGCAATTGACAATGACAAAAATATTCACCAAAAATAGAGAATTTGAAATGAAAATAAATCTGAGAAAGAACCATCCATATCAAATTTGAAAACATTTTGACTTGCGGTTTCGAAGAAGTTGAAATTGTCAGTCGTAGTCACCAACTTTACAATCAATAATATGAACAGTTCCGCTGTGTCGAAAATTGTACTCTTCTGCATTTGTGGACCTTTTTTTTTATCTAGGAGCATTATATTAGCCTTCACTTTAACTGTACATTGTACTAGCTATATCACTGTACATAAATCAGACCTTGACCAAGACTTCAGCTTTATTCAAGGTGCAACGTATGGAGTTGAAGGGATGGCATTCTCTCTCAATTATTGCCAAGGGTAGAAATCAACAGAATTTATGTATTAAATAAACCTCAGTTCAGAGCTACATACAAGGGGAAGCAGCCAATTCAAATTCTATTTTTTTCTGCAATACAAGTCTAATTACAATTTAACATGTATTTGGTTATAAATGTTGTGGTCAGCATTTTATAAACTCGCTCAGCTTTTGGTCTTGTGCGCTGACAACTGCAATGCACACATTACGTTTGTTTTATGAATGTATGTTAACGAGTTCCGATTACCTATACACATCAGTCGTGGAATAGCACAGGTATGCAGAAGTTGTGTAGAATTCTATAATAACTCGTATATTATAAGGAAAGAAAAAAAACTTCATGGGCAAAATGACCTTGCATAAGTCACAAACAATGGGATGTGAAAACTAACAATAGCGGTAGGCATGGTTTCTGTGAGAAACCATAAAACACTTCTCTCAAAATTGCAACATGCATATTTGACATTTAGCCCCCAGTAAGTTGTCATCATGTGCAGTAATCTTTGTAGTTCACTTGAAAAAGCAATTGATCGCCCTCTGGAGACCGAGATGCAACTGCAGCGGTATTTCTGAAAGACTGTATTATAAGCTTGAATTAATTATCACTGAAAAGCATTTTGTGAGTTGAAAGTAAAATGTAGGTAAGATGCATTTGCAGGATTTTATTTTCACAGATTCATCCTTTCAGTGAAAATAAATTCTGAGTGAAAATAATGTATATCTTATGCTTCACATTTCAGTATTTTGAATTGGCACTAATGACACATGAAATGTTTTAGTAAAAATAAATATTGGCGAAAAAAAATATTTATTTGCATAATGTTTTAAAAGTACAATACTAAACTAAATGTCAGCAAATTGGCTAACAAAGACAACTACTAACACAATATTCAGCTTCCATGCATTTCTACTGGAAGAGGAATTAAACACTAAAAATTGCACCTACTCAAAATCAACGTCAGGAAATGTAATTAACTCGTGATAATTTTTAGGTACAGAGTAAACCCAAAGTAATGTAATAAAGAGCAGGGGTCATCGTGCAGTGAATGTTCAAAATTTTACAATATATTTGACATGTACTACTGTAAAATATTTTATTTTCGCTTGGAATTAATTTTCGCTGAAGGAATGATTCAGTGAAAATAAAATCCAGCAAATATACCTTTTTCCTATACTTTATATTCAACTTGTCAAAAATCAGTGAAAATAAATTCCATACAAAACGCCAATAAAATTAATTCCAGCTAAAATAAAGTATTTCACAGTATTAAACATTGCTATGGGAATCGTATTGAGCATGGCTTTGCGCAACTACCACTACACTTCGATTACATGATTTAATACAACGTAACTAAGATATTCTCAGTATCTTCAATACAAATGTATTAAAACACATTCAATTTGAGGCAATGCATCATGGGAAATGGACACTCAAGGGCTTCAAAGAATAACTTTTACAAAAACATATTTGTATTATGATTATCACTATCCAATTTACACAAACTGGTCTCCCCAAAATGACACGTTCAGTATTGAGAACACCGAACATGTACACTCCACAATATCAAATAGATGCACCATGAATTGGATGCTATCCGAATAGATACAACATTCTCAAGCAGAACATCTACATGCGGGAAATAAATTTTCCATGAGTTTAGAAATTATGAGACAATTTCACTCATTCATGTAGGAATTGAATACTAAATACATTTTTTTTTTCTCTGTGTAGTGGAGATATAAGTGTCCCCAAATTTCCATTTCATGAACAGTCTGTTGTAGAAAATGTTTCATATGAAATCATTTTATGGAATTTTCTTCTACATTAAATTGTACCGTACCATAAATTGTACTTTTATTTGATAGAAAAATAAAACTGGGATGAAAAGACAAGTCTTAAAAGAAATGTATTATGGCCAGTAAGAACACTATGCTATTAGAACATATCCACATATACGACAACACCAAATTTTTTATGCAGATCATTCTTCAAAGTATCTCATATTTTCTCCTGTAATAAAAACATTTTATACCATGTCTAATCATTTTTAAGAACCTAAACTGGTACAAGCCTAATAATAAGCACTATATAAGAAACATTTACAATGTACTCTGGAACACTATAAAAGTGTATAACAAATAATACACTGTATCCTTGTTATAACAAACTCTTTGGTTTGATATAGTGAAATGTTCACTATAATAAAGCACTTAATACATTAGGTTTGTTGTGAGCGAGAGACATGCAAGGTTACAGTATAAATCGCGATGATCACCACAACAGATCAAAATCAGTCCCATACACGCATTAATACACAAAATTTGATTTGATTGCCCATGTAATAACTGCCACTCTTTAGGCTACAAATTAGGTTCTACTGTCAAAAGCATTTCAGCAAAACTTGGTGTTAATTAATTCCATTATTATTATATTCATTTTGAAATAAATAATCAATATAAAGACGAACTAGAAAGCAGTTGAAAGTAAACTTTACATTTACATGCTTAAGCATAAAAGCCATCACATAGCATACAATATGGAAAACCCACACTGTTTGTTCACTAATTATGGTTTCACACAAAATGTTAATGACTGTGTGTTGACTGGAGCTTTATTTAAAAGTCTACTCGTCTGTCTCAGTACTGACATACAACTTAAAAGTCTGAAGTGACTCTAACTTCTTAATCTTCTGCCGCATTATCTCAATCTCTTCACAATCTGCACTTAATTTGCTATTCTCCTCTTTCAGCTTACAGTTCATTTGCGTCAAATCGTCAAGCTTTTGCACCAGTGATGCCTTTGTCTTGTCCGCCTTTGATTTGTATTTCCCAAAGACATCCACTTCTTTCTGCAAGGTGGAGATTAGCTCCTGTTGAGCATCAGATTCGTTCTTGATCCTCACCGATTCCTCCGTTATTTTTATCCTTATCTCAGTGATCATGTGTTTAAGCTGATTGTTCTCTTGCAGTAACTGACTTTGCAGTTTTCTGGCTTCCTGGAGGTTACTGTCCTTCAGCTTCACGTCTTGTAATGCACTTTGATACATCTGATGATACTTTTTTAACTCTGCCTGTGTGGATGTCAGTAAACTTGCAACCTTTCCCTTATATACTACTTTCTCGGTTTCCAGGGTACGTATTCTTTCACCACGCTCGCCAGATTCTTTTACGAGCTGCTCCATCTGATCTATCACATCAACAGCAGTGTCTTCCAAAAGGCCATCTTCGACGATGATACATCTTGATTTAGGGGAACTGACTTCAAGATCATTGCCAACTCCACTATCCCGGGGAACTTGTTTCTCTCGCAACATTTCTATAACAGTACTCACTTCTTTTTCTCTGCCATAGTACTTGTCTTCCCACAACTCAATCTCATCTTGTAGCTCAATAACTTTTTTCCTGAGAACATTCATCTCATCAAAACGCCCACATTCTCTCTCCTGAATCAGAAAAGCATGGTCTTCAAATCTGTGTTTTTCGGACTCTAATTCTAACTTCTCTTCTGAAAGATCCTTGTAATCCTGTTCGTACTTTGAAACATCTGCTTCCAGAATTGACACATTGATCTCTGCTTCCTTGCATTTTTTCTCCCAGTATGATGCGGCTCTTTCTAGTGCAAATGACTGATCATCAGAGCTGTTAAGCTGCGACGTCATTGACGCTGTTCTTGCATCGCGCTCTAAGTTGACAACTCTTTGACGCAGTTTTTGATTCTCTTCTTCTGTGTGCATTTTACATTCATTTAATCTACGTCTTTTCCCATTCAAGTTGGAATTTTTCTCTCGAAGTGACCTGACCTGCTTACGATCACTACATCTGGCATAGTATTCAAAGAAGGCCACATACAGTCCATTTAACACACTGAGTAAGGTGACAATGAAGCAGTTAAGAGGAGTTTGTGGGATAAGTATCCCACTGTATATGAACCCACTGAAGCATGTCAAACTCAAAAAGATGGTTAATACAAATTCAACCGACAGCAATCCATCTCGCCAAGTGAACATGGTACATGTATTCCTGAAAACCGACTCAGAAACTAATACCGGCACCACTGATATCTTCTATTCTGTGCAAATGTCCTGACAAGCTGTGAATAAAATAAAATAAATAATTAATAATGCTGCTGTATTAGAATGTACTTTATATTATTAGAGGCATGTGTGTTGATGTATTGTTGCTTTAATTACTCCACTCATGGGACATCTGTGTAATGAAACAAAATCATGTTCATGAAGTTCATTTCAGGCCACAGCATTTCTAAGCACTGTAAAATATCAGCATTCAAGTACGATCCTTTTCTTTTTAGCCTCAGTATGTTTTAGAAGTTGTTATGTTTTACAGATACAACTTTGAAACTGTATTACAACTCGTATGCTTGTCAGGAACTGGGGAGTGAAAAGAAAACGGCCTGAGTTTATATCAACCTTGTGTGTGATATGATATTTAACCTTTTCACCACCAGACTTTCTGGCCCAAATCTTCTGCACTTTTTTCTTATATTCTTCAATATTTCTAGAAATGAATCCTAATTTTGGAGCCAACAGGCGAAATTTGAGTCAATTATCAGTTCTAACTCAAAAAATTTGGCTATTTTTGTCCCAATCTTCTGAAAGAAAGTGCAGACTATAAATGGGGACTATTTTGTGAATTTGTGATGAAAAGAAGGAACTGGTGGTGAAAAGGGTACGGCGGTTAATATTTGAGGACAATGTGTTCACAGGAAAACACAATCCATCTCCAATGTATTAGTACAAACATGTGTACATCAAAGTCAAGGAACATAGTTAAACTATATATAAACATGTATTTATAAATTGAAATGGTAGTTATACATTGTACAATCTCACAGTGATGTAGGCTGTAGACCCATTCTAATTTTTGTATATGAGCTCTTCTCAGAAGAGAGAAGCATCAACATCACAAATCCAATTGTTTAAATGTGACTTCAAATGAAAACAGTTTGGTTTACAAATTTTAAATTATTTTTATGAGTATGAACATGTCTTACCTAACTACATTGTTAGTCGCACTATTAAAAATGAGATAATATTTGTTGTATTTTTCTTTTTAAAAATTTAGCATGTTCATTGTTTGATTTGAGTTTTAATAAGTTTTTTTTTTTTCATTGAATATTATAGTTTTTGATATTGTGATATTTATATTTCCATTTTTTGCAGTATGTTTCCAGCTTGTTCAACGCCATTTGCAGCCCAGTATTAGTTTCTGACAAAAGCACTGAGTGAGTCGCCAGCATAGAGTAAACAGAAGTATATACCCCCTCTAGATAACTATATGCGTTCTTAGGAGGGACATAAATTGGAGAGCGCTGAAGGGTAGGGTTTGGGGTAGCGGTTCACAAAAAAAGAACACTTTCCGAACTTCCTAAATTGTGATTTATTGATCACTCATAAATAGACATTCTGTAGACTGCAACTGAAAATTGGCGCGGTGGGGGTCGACACACGGAAACTACTGGTATTTTACAATAATTATCCCTGTTAACGTAACATTTACGTTTGTTTTACATTTAAATCGCGCAAGCTAATACAGCAAACATCTGTACGCTGACGTCAAAGAAACAGACGCTACCAAAAAATCAATTCTCAAGTACAGACGTACACACAGACAGCACATACAACAACAAAAATAGCCTGATGTTAGTGTTACTGCGCTATGATTTTTCTATAAAGGTTCCCGGATTTTCTGTCAATCACATGCACATTTTCAGAACAAGGCACGCCAACATCAAAGTATATTTTGTACACAACAGTAGTTACCTTACATGAAGTCGGGCTGTGTAAACATTAATCAGGCCCCGGCTTGCACCAGAGCACATGTAGTCTGCAGGACGCGTCCAGTACAAACAATGACTTTCGTTCAAAAAATCTTGACTCAAATCACTGCTTGTATCGGGTAA